AAAAGAGCAAAAACAAAATACGTAACTATCTTTATTACAGCTCTATCAGTTGTAAACTGTTCTCCCTAGAGGTCCAGTAAGAATCACCTTTTATTGATCCTGTGTTACTACAGGAGGAAACCTAAACTAAACTATCTTTATTTATCAGGGGCGGCGGAACCGGGGGTACTAGGGGGGCTAAAGCCCCCCCCCCATCCCCCAGAAGTAAAAGTGGGGGGGGGGGCTTAGCCCCCCAAGAAAATTTAGTTTTTTCTGGGAACATTTTGATAATTAAGGAAAAATTTAAGTTATTTTTTGAAAATTTCGGTATAACGGGAAAAATTTGGAATATTTTGTGTAAAAATTGTGTATTTCCGGAAAAAAATTTTGTTATATGTCTGGAAAATTTTTTTTTACCCTTTCCTTGTATATGTCCGGAAACATTTTTGTACTCCTAAAATGGTACACTGACCGAATTTTGTTTTGGCGATGGGGGGGGGGAGGCCACGAAAAAAAAATTAGCTCCCCCAGAATGAAATCTGTTCCGCCGACGCTGTTATTTATACTGGATAGCTCTATCAGTTCTAAACTGTTCTCCCTAGAGGTCCAGTAAGAATCATCTCTTGTTGATCCAGTGTTACCACAGCAGGAGAAATCTAAACTAAACTACTGTAACTTTATTTATACTGGATAGCTCTATCAATTCTAAGCTGTTCTTCCTAGAGGTCCAGTAAGAATCATCCCTTATTGATCCTGTGTTGCTACAGGAGGAAACCTAAACTAAACTATCTTTATTTATACTGGTTAGCTCTATCAGTTTTAAACTGTTCTTCCCAGAGGTCCAGCAAGGATCATCTCTTATTGATCCAGTGTTACTACAGGAGGAAACCTAAACTAAACTAACTTTATTTATACTGGATAGCTCTATCAGTTCTAAACTGTTTTCCCTAGAGATCCAGTAAGGATTATCTCTTATTGATCCAGTGTTACTACAGGAGGAAACCTCAACTAAAGTAACTTTATTTATACTGGATAGCTCTATCAGTTATAAACTGTTTCTTCCTAGGTAATAGATCACACTGACAGCATTAAACCAGACAAAATTATCACCACAAGTCAGAGTAAAAAGGCACATATTACTTTGCATTTAATTGATGCTATTAATGATAGTGCTGATTGGAATTTAAAGGAAATGATAATAAAAATGGAATAGAAATCTTTTGAAATATGTGAATTATAAACATACCAGGCTGACGGCTAAATCTAGCCCCAACTTGGGTGATTTTTTCATTCCATTATTTCCAAGCTTATCTACAAATATACAAATACATTGGAATACAAATATACACTCATGTTAATACATCGCATATAAACAGACTGACCTATCATACAACAGGAATCGTAGCGCCACAGGTTCAATTTCTGCCAGAGAGCCTGGACACAGTAGTATCTACTCTGTGGCCTGGAGTTATATATGGAAACTTATTTGGATGGGACACGGTATAATCAGGTCTGAAAATAATTATTTTACTTGGAAGGACAAATGTCTGGCCATGCAAGCCAAACATTTTTTCAATTTTTCTCAGACAATGGACAAAGTAAAAATTTTCATATTTTGTTTTGAAAATTAATTAGCGTGATGTATTTTTATATATCTACCAGTTTTTATATATCTACCGTATATTGCTTTAATTGAATAATTGATCAGTAAATTATGGTTTAGGTTGGTACAGGTTATTATTTGCTTTCTTGTTGTTTCATTAACAAAAAATGTGTTAAATAAACAATTTTTGAGATTGGAGATTTGACTAGGATCGATTGGACAAAATGTAAAATTTGGATCACTAATTTGAAGGCCTGGTAATGCTTATGGTACCTGTAACCAGTATCCAGATTTATAGGAGATACTGGATTCTCAGGGGGATGCTAAACTTTGAATTCTGGTATCCCAGTTGGATACTGGGAAAAATATACATTTCAGACCCTGAATTCTTCCCTTAGACAGTACCTTCGACTTGACGTACCGGACGTACCCGGGGCTAGCCGCAAATTGAAGGCTGCAATGTAGGCTAGCTAGCCCTGGGTACGTTCCTGAGGTTGTTCGACCTTTAGTTCTAGCTATTAAGTAAAATGCCCAAAATTCTGATTGTACATGTATATCAAGACTAGTTTACACTAAACTATTTTTGCAGCAATTTCTAGTGAAATTTTTGTCATCTGATGCAAGTGAATGGTTAAATAAGCTATAAATATTCTGAGTACATAAATCCTCATCTAAACATTCATAATTCATCTACTCGTTCACCTCCATCAGACAAAAATCGTAGCAAAAAATATGTAGACAAGTTTTAGTGGGGCAAATCATAACTCCCAATCCAGACCGTTTCACCATCCCTAAAATTTTTCCACCTCCCGAAATCTAGCCGTAATGTATCGATCAATTTGAAACTTCAACCTGCTCCCCCCCCGGGCCGACCCCGGGAATTTGAACTTTTTGAAATTTGACTGATCAAATTCTTCATCCTCTGTGCAAAAAATGTCTTCAAATGCCCCACTGTAACAAGAAATTAAGCGTTCAAATGCCCTTCGAATTGATCGGTACATAACATGTAATCGCCCATATTACACTAGAGTGGATCGATATACCGGATATATCCGGTATACAGGTATTTGTTTAGATACCAGTATTGGCGATATTGACAATTTAAAAATACCGATATACCGACATTTCGGTATTTTGCTGCCTAATACCGAATTGAAACGCTGTTTCCAGTCAAACTTGCTTACAATCACATTTAGAAAGCAAAATTAATTAGATTTACATCACCTTGTAGTACAGAATGATTCAACACTTCGACACCCAATCGACAGTCTACTAATAATTGCCGCTTAGCGCCGTTAACATAGCTTGATAATGCAAATCTTGTGACATTTGCACTAATAACAGTACTTATGTGCCACATTAATATTTTGTCAAAACTTGATTTTTCTCGACGGTCAGCAGTTCAGTTTGGCTTAAAAATACCGGTATACTGGGATTTACCGGTATTCTGATGGCGGTATATCGGTATTCGCGATATTGATCCACTCTATATTACACTATGTTGCACTAATTACCATAATCACAAATGCATACACGTTATTATTTAAACCATTGAGGAGTAGCACTCTGCCTGATGAGTAAAATCGTCCAGAGGCGTTGGAGTGACTCTAAAAGTGGGGGGCACACTTAGTGCCCGCGAAGGCGGGGGACATTTTAGGGGTCCAAGGGCATGCCCCCCCCCCCCAGGAACAAAAATTAAAATTAGAGTCTCTGGAATGCCATTTCCTGCACTTTAGAAGGAGATTTACAGAGTTCTAAAGGTAACAAAATGTCATAAAATATCTCAAATTGTTTTGTCTACACAGGTATTAACTGAAATAATTAAAATTTTGATTTATGAAATATGAATTATTAATGTTAATGCCTATTTTGATGATCAATATATAATAAAAATTATGTCAGTTATAGAACGAGCTTTCCTCACAATCAATATAACCAGCTTACCTTGTAAATTGTTTCCAAAACAACGAATTTTTCGTCGAAATATTTTATTTTGAAATCAATATATAAAATTTGGTTTTAAAAAATGGCGGAAAATATATGCCGCGCTCGCCTTGGAGGGACTGGTTCTACGGCGAATGACTGCTGGATTATAATGAAGCAGGCTCGTATCGAGCACCAACCAGTGACCTCTATATATTTATATGGAGCGCGAACTTCAGTCATTCGGCCTAGTAGGCCTACGACAAACGTGAAGCAAAGTTGAAAGAAATTGACGTCCGATAGCTTAAACAGCTTTAATTTAACACCATTTTTCTCAGCCAATTCCAGTTTTGTTTTTTTTGTAACGGACAATATCGCTAAACATGTTAACAGTTCATAAAACTTTAGTATTATAGTATTATTCTTTAAATAACTGAGTGTGCGGATACTCCTCGCAGTTTTGTGTTAACCACCAGTGGTTAACCACGCAGCCAAAAAAAAAGTTCTGGTTCTTACTCCAGTTACATATCGAGCTCACTGGATGGCTCTAGCCTGCGAACGGGCATTAATGACCGCTGGATTGTAGGAAAGCTGTCTCGTATCGGGCGCCATCTTGAAAAAGTTCACAGCACCACAGAGTAGAGACCACTGAGCTATACTTATATATCTGGAGATCGTGCTCTCGACGAAAGTGTGTGGCCAAAAACATGGCGGATTTGACGTCACAATCGACCTATTTTCATGGGGGTTTCCACTGACCCGTGGCTCGAATGTCCGTGGGCGACAAAGTTCAACCCCCCCTGGATTTTACCATAGATTATAGATCATATATAATCTATGATTTTACAGTGATTTTGTATGTTTATATTAGTTGATCGACAGAGAGTATATTTTTGATTTTCGTCCTTTTGAAAATACAGTATTATTCTAACTGCGCGTATAAATCAATAAAGACCGAAAGCCATTAATAAAAAAAGACATGAATGGAGCTTGACGGCCACAAGAACAAAGCATGTAAGTCATTGAAATGATTTATCAATTCTTGTTGTATTGTGAATTTGTGTTGCAACCATTGGTTGCAACTGAACTATCAAGATTATTCTTTAAAACACGAGTATTATAACAATCCCCAGCAAGTAAAATTAAGCAAATATAGCTTGTTGAAAACCGTACTGCTATAAGTTTCCCTGAGTGACAAAGGTTTTTTTAGAGATTTTAATACCAGTTTATTCTATTAGTAAATTGTGGGGAAAAGCAACTCTTGGGAATATAAAGCACTTATATCACCATTAAAGTTTTTTACACCTGTATGTATTCCGCTTTCAGGTATGAATTTATCAAGAAAATATGGGATATCTGTACTATGGCAATGAAGAAAGTCAAGTGTATTTCTTTATAATGGTCTTCCTTGTAAAAGGCAATGGCACTATTTCATTGAACATTCAAGGAACAATCGCCTTTTAAAACAAATATGCACATTTTTATGCTCGAGTTACAATGTTTGATTTTGATATCTGCATTTTATGCGATTCATACCTTATTTTTAAGTGTTCCTCAAATATTGATTCAATACTTTACCTCGGGCTGACCAATTCATTCCATCAAGATATTTGCTGTGTTGGTGTAATACATGTACTCAGGTGAATAAGATGCTTGTGTGATGTTACATACTCTGAGTGGATATCCACACTGGGCAGGCTTGAAAAATATGCCTGGCCACAGTGGGATTTGAACCTACAACCTTTGGAATACTGGCCCAAATATGCTCTGCCAACTGAGCTATACAGTCGGGGCAGTTCGAGTATGCGATATTTCGGAACTGAGTCTAGTTCCTTCGATATCAGTGTAATCTAACAACCATGATATTTGTGAATATGATGCTTGTGTGATATTACTCTGAGTGCATATCCACACCGGGCAAGCTTGAAATCCCACTGTGGCCAGGCATATTTTTCAAGCCTGCCCGGTGTGGATATACACTCAGAGTAACATCACACAAGCATCTCATTCCATCAAGTTGCTCCAGATATTCATACACTTCCTGTGAAAGAGCCAATTCCAAGTATTTAATAATTTCTGGTCACTTCCTTTCTATTGATGATTGGTTAGTTGCACAAACAACAAAGGTGATTGGTGCATTCAAACCATTTAACAGGAAGTTTACAATTATACTAGGAAGTGTATGAATATCTTGAGGAACTTAATCAAATGAATTGGTTGGCCCGAGGTAATGTATTGAATCAATATTTGAGGAACACTTCAATTGGAACAACAGTGAAGAATTATTAAAAAAAAATATTTTATTCAAAAAAAGATTTTCCAAGATAATTATATAATTACATTTAGTAATAAGAATAAATAATATATTCAATTTCAAATCACAACAAAATTTATTCTTTATTTTTGAACACATACAACACCAATTTAATTAAATAAACTGCTCAACCAATTCTATGCATGTCAATCCCTACTTGATGGTCATCACCTACAGTAATTATGCTAGCCTAATTTGTACACTAACACAAATGGTCAAAATAAATGTAAATGTAGCAATCTTGGCTTAGCTAAACAGACCAAAATGTGTACCAATAACTTAAAGTTGTTAGCAGAAAAATTAAGGAATAAATTTAACCCATTGAGTGGCGAAGCACCCTATTTTAGTATTTTACTCTGTCTAACGCCAGACAATTTTACTCGTCAAGGGGAGAGCACTGGCGCTTAATGGGTTAATTACCCATCATGTACAGTATGACCATTAATTGTACTGATAATAAACTGTAAAGATCACAACCAAGCTGACCAAAGCAATCATTAAAGATTGTTGGTACAGCATATGGCTTTAACACTGGTCTCTGGCTGTAATCCTCCTCAAAGATATCAGCACTAAAATGCTTTGAACACAAACGACTATTTTTCATAGGAACAAACTTCACTGCCATAAGTTTGCTTATATTCTTCACCCATATGCTGTGCAATTCAGGGAATCTCTTCTCATCTGGAAAGCTTTGAAGTAAATGAACAATTGTTTTTAGTGTCTAGTTAATACACTGTTCAATACGATACCTATAACTTACAATATAAACAATGCCACACTAGACAACACATGGTTTAGTCCACGTAATAAAGACACTATCACATTGTTAAAATTCTCATTTGAAATTTTTTAACATAGCATTATCTGTTAGGATATCGATAGGATTTCATCACTGCATCACATCCATCAACTTGCATGAAATAAATACTTGCTCGACAACAGCTCCACAAGCTTGTCAACATTTTAAAATTTTGTTCTGCTTTTGCACTGTAGTACACTAACATAAATTGTATTGTATGTTGCTTGCCAATAAATTTCATGAATTCATAAATTTACGCATTCAATACAGCAATACAGCATGCGTTAAATTATTACAAAAAAAAAGAGATTATACGAGCCTTACGCATGTGAGGACAGGTCCTTTCTTTCAGTAGATTCTTGGCAACCAGGAATTGAACAAAAAGTTGGCATGGTTGCAAATGTCTCGTTTCAATATAGAAATTTCCGACCGAAATTTTGAATTTACTATTTTACTCCTTCTGTTTTAAGCAAATTGAAAGGGGGGTGTGAATAACTTTTTTCTTCACGTTTGTATTTTAGGTCAGTGGTGTTCACCATAAATTTAGGTCGATTGTGACGTCAAAATGACGTAAATTTGGCCAAAATCCGCCATGTTTTTGGCCACACATTTTTGACTGACGAGGTATTGGAGCACGATCTCCAGATATATTAAGTATAGCTCAGTGGTTCGGACTCATTGAATACATACAAACGAAAGTAACTTTATACTTTTAGTTTTGTTTATTTCAAATTTCATGTAAGTTTTCCTTATATTATAAAATAAGTTTTAAAAACAATATACATGGACCCTCATGCGCAATTGCTCCAATACTCCTGCCATAGGACCATTCTCGTACCCAGAGCCCTTCTTACGCGCGTCAACCTCATACCCAGGGCTTCTGCGCTTATTGCGCGACGAGGGGCTCTGGCCAAATCCATATCAAACTGGCATCTGATTGGCCATAGTTCTAATACCGGATATTGTTCTCTTACCATGTTTTTATGGTATCCGGTTATGGATTTGGCCAGAGCCCCTCGTCACGCTCGGTCGAACGCGCGTAAGAAGGGCTCTGGGTAAGAGAATGCCATAGGACATAAACTGCCTCGCTCATCCCCAGGCGCTAATAAAAATATTTCATGCGAGTTACTATATGAAAGGTTTACATGAAGTAGTGCGTCACAATATAGGTGCGCAAAGGGGTATGGGATATGAGCGTTCATGCGGTCATGCCGTCATACCTAATTTTAAGAATTTTGTATCACTGCACATTAATCGAATATTCGGAAAATTTTGGCGACCTCGCCAAAAAAATTTTGGTCAGTGTACCATTTTAAGGGTCAAAAATTTTTTCAGGACATACCAAAAGCCAGATATTAACTAAAAATTGCCTGAATCTCATGATTTTCGTACAAAAAACATATACTATTATTTAATTCGATAATTTGGCAGTCGTCATTTCAATTTCAATTAAATCATTCTCTTGTGTTAATTAACAACTTATCAAAGCAAATTTTATCACTGCACATTTTACATTTTATCACTGCACATTTTACTTTTATCACTGCACAAATTGGTTATCACTGCACACTAAAATTAGGTATGCATGCCGTAACCTTTCATATAGTGACTCGCATGAAATCTTTTTATTAGCGCCACGGGACAAGGAGCGACATAAACTTACTTTTTTTATGGGAAGTGCCCCGCATGGAACTTGGAGTCCCATTCGCACTTTTCCCATTTGGGTTCTTTTGTTGTTGTTTTAAAATTAGTGTATCTTTGTCTAATTATTTGTTAATATAATTATTGTAAATATAGTGAATATTTTCGGTGCAGACTAATTTGAGCATGAAGATTTCAATTCTGAGCTCATTTTTGGCAAATATCTGTAGATAGTGAGATGAAAAACAGATTTGGACAATCGTACGAGAGGGGAAAAATCAGGGGTACAGAAAGTTTTCATTTTGCCCGACTTATCAAAATAATTTTTCCATGCTAAATCAGAAATGATTCACCTGGCCCATATCTTAGTGATATTTTAATGATATTTTTGAAATAACCCAAAAGCAATGACCTTTATTATACTTTATATGTCTTGTATTTCAATGTATGGCAGATTTTACTTTCCCTCCCGAAAAACGTAAGGCGGAAAGAATGTGAGGCTGCAATGTCGTGTCACGATGTTCGAGTCACGTGGTTCGAGTATCGAGTTCGCTTGAAGTCTTTCTTTGTTCTTTGCCCCTCCTTGGATTATATATCGTTTTATCGATTGTCAATTCTTTCTCAAACGACACTGTTTTTACATAAATATGGGACGACTCTCTCGTTATGCTCAAGACAGAATACTCTTGCTACGCTCCGAACAGGCTAAGGTTGGTGAAATTGTACAAAAGCTTAGCGAAGAAGGCATATCCACAACTCGGCAAACGGTATCTAGATTTCTTCGTGTGTCGAGTGACGGTACGAAAACCCGTCTCAATACGGCAGGAGAAAAACAGTCGGGAAAGCGATCCAAACTTAAACAAGAGCAGTTGGACTTCATAAACAAGGAAATCGAAAAAGATGACAAACTGAATGCAAGAGGTAATGTCTTTGGCAAAGAACAAAGTCGATTTGATTTTCATATCTACAATTTCGATATCATTATTTATCACAGTATAAATTATCGCAATTTTGCGACAACACAGTGCTACCACTTTGTGAAAAATGATTTCCTACATGCTGCCAAAATTTTTCTTTTTATCTGTTCATTATTTTGCATTTGTTAGTTTCCTTTATGCATTGTTTGTGTTTTGAAATGGATTTAGTGTGATATAAAAACATCTTGAAAATAGCCATATTTCCAGTAAATGGTGTGGTTTAAAAATTGTCTATATGTTGTAAAACAGTCAAATGAATGATGTACGAATTTGACCAGAGGTTAATGATAATCCTGCATAGGTGCAAATTTGATGTGAAAACATTCCCACACCGTCGGGCATTTGACCCCTTTCATTTGACTGATCACTTGCGCAAAATTGGCCAGTGGTCGCGCTAAGTGCTTGGCGTAGATGAACATGATTTGTTTTCATGTGTATAAAAACACACTATACAGCATGAATAGTTTGTACATAAAATGCCATTATATAAAGTTTGGAACTCGACCAGGGACATCAAATGGCTGTAATTGCTTGTTCTTTTGCCGAACTTGTCTCAATTTAAGTTATGTGTCTTTATGATATTTTATAGATAAAAAGAAAATTGAACTTACAATAGCGAGCATAAAAAGAAACGGCATTGCAAAACTATATAAATTGCGAAGTCTAGCTGGTTCTCTTCACATAAAATTATATGGGAAACGACAGATATGGGCATTTGACTATGTTTGACCGCACCGTTGGGAAAGGGTCTAGATGGGGGGACCTCCCAACTCTACTGGTTTGACATTCCTGGGCTTGAGAGAAACATGGGCTTGTGCCTGTTTCACTTCCATTTATCAAACATTAAAACATGTTATTATTATGATGATGTATTAAATGGTCCTTGCAAAACATTTTCGCATGAAAGCAAGCCAAATCTAAGTAACCCAAACCGAATATTAATATTGTTGGGCAATTTGCTCAATAGGACTAACAGTTGAAGGAGTTTTTGCAGATGGAAATTTCCAGCGAAATATTATATAAATTCTAGACCTAACCAAGAGCTGCTGTGAAAAATGTAACTATAGCCTAGGTCCTCTGGCAGGAATCGAACCACCAGACTAGGAAATAGGCATACTAAGAAGCCTAGGGACTAGGCTGTCAAACCACTAACCATGCAATTCCGGTGTGGTGCTCTAACCAACTGAGCTACAGAGTACAGTTGTCAAACCCTCTGTAAACCACAAGTTCTTGTACCGGTATATTATATATGTCATTACATTGATGACAAGGTATGGGTAAATATCAAGATTTGGGGGCATCTTGCTCAGTAGGACTTAATGCAACTATAGGTCCTCTGGCAAGAATCAAATGCATTTCCTTGCAGGCCTTAAAATATCTTTTACAGGGCCGTCTGACAAAATGTCCAATGATGTTGAGTTTGGGTCGGACATATGTCCGATGACCTTCAGTTCAGTTTTGACTCGGAAATAAGTCTGAATGACACAAATGAATAAACGGTAAATATTGTAAAGATATTAAATACTTTGTTTCTTTCATACTTATTTCCAAGCCAAAATTAACTTAAGCCCGTTTTCCTCTTCACCATCTCGCTCGCCGCCCCGCGTTCGACTACGTTAAAACAACATTTCCAGTTCACCTTTCATGTATGAATAGTACTCTGATTTTCCATTTAACATACAAGTCTCTAGTCCTGGGCTACTGGTACATTTTGATTTACGTCGGACAAAGCTACAGTTCGGTCGGACACCAATACACTTGGGTCGGACAAACAATAAACCCCAGTTTCACTTTGGTCGGACAGAATGTCCGGTGGTTTCCTCTCTACGTCGGACAATTTCACGAACAGGTCGGACAATGTCCGTGACCGACCGATATTTTAAGGCCTGCCTTGTTTTCAATTGAAGAGGGCTCTTTTGTGCATTTGACTTAAGGCACTTGCATTTGTTAATCATTTTTTACTAATAGCAAGCAATGTTACTACAGTAGTCAGAGGGAAATTTGCATCAACATTTACTGTAAACATACTTCAACATAAAGGCACATTAGAAAATATCACCAGCCCCCTCCTCTTCCAATCTTCTCTTCCAGAAGATGTTATCTTGCACTATCATTCATAGATATAAGATATAAGAGTTTCAGAGCTATCCCACCATGAACAGCTACCAATCACTATAATATAATTGCAACCTAATTTTATTTTCAATAGATCTTCAAGAAATGCTTCAAGAACAGTTCAGCGTTGAAGTATCCATAGCTTCAATAAAACGAGCAAGAAAACAACTGGGTTGGGTAAGAACTGGTCCAAGAAACGTAAAGGTACAAGCAGGCCCCTGCCAGGATCATGCAACGATCGTTGCATGCCTCACACACATCACCGAGCAGCAGCAACTCATCGGTCAAAAGTTAGACAGATTAGAGAACAGGTTTGTACTCCTTCAACAATTCCCAAATGCGTACCAGTTATTCCCTTCCACCACAAGTATTTCCCACCCCTCAAACATTCCTAACTCCTCGGCTATTCCCAACCATTCAGATCACTCAAACCCCTCGTGTATCCCCAACACCACAACGACCCTAAGTGTTCCAAACCACCCTCCTTGTGGTAACGATATTGCACCATTGATGCCTCCATTGCCTTCCTCAAGTGAACCAACCATGTTGAGTTTGACCGATGAAACAGCTGTGGTTCCAGATAGCTTCAGCATATTAGCCAATATCTATAACCTAACAACCAATGATCTATACGCCCTATCTCGCAAGTCCTCCTCAATTGGAAATTTCTCTGTGAAGCTTGTCAATATCATGTTCCGGGCAGACGAGTTGCTGGGAAGAAATTGCAATGGCAAGCTTGGGAAGCTTCCACTCGACTCATCCAGGCTATCTGTTATTAAGGAAGCAGTGTACCATATTTATTCTGTCCCTGACATATCAAGGACTGATATCTGGAAGAAATGCGTGATAGCCATTGACGAATCAATAAGAAGACCTAAATCAAAAACGCCCTCCAAGAAACGTCCTGTGTACGTACAGCTGCCCAGCATGACAGATCTCCATCTCATTGCCGAACCAACTGGCACTCCATTAAACAACTAGGCCCCACATAACATTGTAATTATACGAACTTCATATATACAAATAATAATGAATTTGAATACTAGGGAATTAGTATAGTTCCAGGGGTTGAAATTTAAAAAAATGAAAACGTATTGAGCATTTAATTACACTCTAAAAACACTCTGGATAAGTCCATTATCATCTGTGATGGCCAAGATTTTGGAAAGAAGGCTCTAGCTATTTGAGTTAACCAGGTTATACAGTATTTGACCACAATGTCCTGGTGAAAATACTGGAGTCCAGTGTGCGATAATTCGCGTACTTACGGCCAATATTAGGTCTGGTACTTCTTTGTTTTCAGCCACGTACCACGTACAGTAGGTACGTGGAACTCTTGCTATCTGCGTACTTACTTTTTGCTGGTACCACATGCGGACCTTTCCAGGCCCGAGGTATTCAATACCGTAATTTAGTTTGTATACAAACATAATTGGACTGATGGCACTAAGAAACGTTGGAGTTGATTGTTTGTATATGCAAAAGTGTACTTCTTTTTCTACCTCGTAGTCTGAACATAATTTTGAGAAACCTGTACTTTATGAACCTTATTTCAATGACTAAGTACACATTGAGTACTGAGTTTGTACCAGCTCAAGTACGTGGCAACAACTATTGGCCTATATACCAGTCAGGTACGACTAAAAATCTTGAATTATCGCACCCTGGGATTGTGTCGAAGTTTCGTATCTTGACTTTGATTTAAGACTAATATGATTTTATGAACTATAATAACTTGATTAGCGATACAGTGGAATTATCTGGGGAGAATGGTATTAAACTGTTTACGACCTTCATAGATGTCGGACATCGATTCCGCCATCTTGCCTTCAGTTTTCTCATAGGCCGAATGACTACAAATTCAAGGCCTTGTATTTGTATTTCCAAATTCAAGGCCTTTCAAATATTTTTGATTCAAAAATTGGGTTTTGGAGTCAAAATACTCAGAGATTTCTTACAGTGTGCACGATGCCACAATATATACGCATATAGAGGACGGCAATTATAACATATACAGTACGTGAATACCACATTGTAAAAACAGATTGGTTAGAATAATCAATTTGAACTGGTTGTCTCAGATGCATTTTCTTTTGAACAATATTATTTGGTCAAAACAGCCAAACAATTGGTTAAAATAACCCAATTTTTGGTTGTTTTAACCAATTTTAATCCTGAGACAAACCATTCAAATTAGTTATTTTAACCATAGATATCTTATATACACTAGATAGTGCATCTAATTATTCTGCAATTCAAAAATTGAAGCCGTGATTGCAGACTCGGGATATTCCCATGAAATGAGAAGACTCGTATGTTTTCTGTTTCTTAAACAGGAAACTTAAACATTAAGTTTAATTAAACATATTCCTAAACATTTTCAAACTATTCAAATGATGAAAGTTATTGTTGTTTTAGTACAGTTGCAGAAGGGTGGGGCAAATTTTAATCCTACCTGTCACACTCCCAGCTTGAAATGCAAGCGTTGTAATAAGAGACGTGAAAAATATGTATTTGGTTGTTAAGAGTGCCTGCACGATGTTTAGAACTTCCACAAGACTTTCAAGCTACCAAATATAACTTAAGCGAGCAATCAAAATCATGCAAAACGACACGCGTATATATATACGGCAAATGCATACTATATCAACACCACGTTTTTTTTTTTAATAACGAAGAGCTTTTTGCTACATCTACAGCAGTATTTGATGAATTCTTTTGCATGTGACCCGATTTTCCTAAAAACGAACAGCTGTGTCCGAATGAAAAGAGAACTTTATTATTTGTAAAAGCTCAAAGTTAGTTCAGGCCTTAAAATATCTTTTCCAGGGCCGTCTGACAAAATGTCCGGTGACGTTGAGTTTGGGTCGGACAATGTCCGATGACCTTCGGTTCAGTTTTGACTCGGAAATAAGTCTGAATGACACAAATGAATAAACGGTAAATGTTGTAAAGATATTAAATAATTTGCTTCTTTCATACTTATTTCCAAGCCAAAATTAACGTGCTTGCCAGAACAGCAGTATCAAAAAGACTTCGACAACTTAAGCCCGTTTTCCACTTCACCATTTCGCTCGCCGCCCCGCGCTCGACTACGTTAAAACAACATTTCCAGTTGACCCTTTATACAATAGTACTCTGATTTTCCATTTAACATACAAGCCTGCCTCTAGTCCTGGCCTCCTGGACTAGGGTACATTTTGATTTACGTCGGACAAAGCTACAGTTCGGTCGGACACCAATACACTCGGGTCGGACAAACAATAAACCTCAGTTTCACTTAGGTCGGACAGAATGTCCGGTGGTTTCCTCACTACGTCGGACAATGTCCGTGACCGACCGATATTTTAAGGCCTGTAAATTTTAAGAAAATTTGTGTCGCATTATTGGCGTTTCCCATATATACACATCTAAGACAATTTTCTAGCTGAAACTTTGCCAAAAAGCCTATAGACTATAGTAACTCCAGACGAAGGGCCTTCGCTCGAAACGTCGAAATTCTTTCAGGTAGGGATTTGCAAACAACCAATTAAAAGACATTGGCACGGCTAATTAAAATACCGCGTTGACCACAGATCGGAATAGATATTTTCCTTTCCTCCACTGACTGCAGACACAACATTTCTATAATATATAGTAAGACATGTAATTACCGTTTTCACCCATGTGTGTAAATAGATCCTCCTTGTGTTCAGAAAGCTGTTGAGTTGATTTGAGAATTCCGTTCACATCCTGTAACATGGCAAAAAAGAAGAAACTAACTCAGTTTATTTCAAGGTAACAGTACATATACAGTACTTGGCTAAGGCGAGAGGAGCATACTACCATATAAGACAAAATTTTCTCCCTTGATGAGGGTCTTTACGTGAAAAGAGTCAATCAACGCTCTGCATGCGTAATTTTCGTGTTTGCATTCCGCAAGCTTGCAGAAGCCGCAGGGGCGAAACCAGAGGCGAAACTAGCCCCTTTTAATTCGGGGTGTGTCTGCCAGAATTGCTCTGTGAAGGTGGTACCGGACAAAAAAAAGGGTCGAAAAAATTTTTTCCGACATAAACCAGTTAAATTAAGGGTTACAAAAACTTTTCCGTACAAATTCCTGTTAGGACATGGATGAAACCCTTATTTTTGGACCAATATCTGTAAAATTTAGGTCTATAAATTCTATTCAATTCCCTCTGAAAGCCCTGACAGTTACTTAATAACCTATGTTAATAACTCTACATTCTATCATTTAAAATCTTTGATTGCCCTGCCAATCCAGATGATTCGCCCTGCCAATCCCAGACTTTCTTGCCATCCTACTTTTCCTAATTTTTCCTACTTTTCTTCGACTTTCCTACTTTTCCTATTTTTTATTAAAAATTGCTTGATTTTCCTACTTTTTCCTATTTTTTTCTCATAAAAACCTACTTTTTTAAGACAGCTTGGGGAATCGGTGTGTTATAGTTCTCGTAATTAGATCTATAGGACTCGTAATTTTTATTCCCTGTTTGTGTCCCAGATGATAAGATCTCGAGAAGAGAAGTACATTTTCCGAGTATAAAATTCCATTACATCTCTAGAATCATAATCAATAAATTAATGAAGACTCCGAAAGTGCCATTTCCGACGATCTAGAGATTCCAAATATTCAACAGCCCAGTGTGGATTGGTGTATGGTGCAGCCAAATACATGCACTCACACGCATAATGCATTTGAATTGTGTTGCTGCAGGGCAGATGCCTTGGCTTTTATACTGATGCAATTTAAAAGTTTTGAGAAAAAATCCTGCATAGATGAATGAGTACAAAAAAATATTGAGCACCAAAAATTCACACAACTTCCCCATCAGATGTCTAATTGTCCACCCCTTATATATCTCTAAGGTACACGTGCCAATGTTGTCCATTTTTTTGTTATTTGCATCTGAAAAACTCCTACTTTTGCCCTACTTTTCTACACATTTTCCTACTTTATTCCTACTTTTCCTAAAATTGTAGTCCTACTTTTATCCTACTTTTCTACACAAGGATGCCAGAAAGCCTGCAATCCAGATGATTCGTATTTG